AGCTCGGGACAACTGGGAGGAGCGCTGGGGGGGGGACAATGGCGGGGGGGGGGTGCTTATTCGGCGGTTTTTCTTCTCGATAATGTTCTGATAATCAGAGAGAAATTGTTTATTGTTAGGTGTTTCATCAGTGAGGCCGGGCCGCTTCTCCTTCCGGTCCTCGTGGACCTGTAGACCTGCCTTTGTCCTACCCTCTTTGAAAGGAGGACCCTCTGACGATTATGCGGATATAATTAGGTCAAACGCGAAACTGGCGGAGAGCGGCCCTGGTCGTCCGAGACGCGGTGTGGTCCGACTGCTCGCGGTTTTCAGGGGTGTAAGTCCAACAAGCGCCGGGCCTGCGGGTCTGCGCAGCTGGGCTCGCAGGGAGGCCTGAGCTGGGCGAGGGGCGCGTGCCCGCATACCCGGCATTTCAGGCGCAGCACAAGCCGCGCTCGGAAATCGTGCTTTCCTTCCATGCGGCTCGGAAGCAAGGCGGTTGCTTGGCTTCAGCCCCTACATCTCCGACCCCTTTCTCCATCCGAATCTTGGCCTGCTGAGGAGCTGTCGACTCCCTGCGAGTTGGGGGGTGGGAAACTCCTGATCTTGCGCTCCGCACGCGCGGACCTCAGACGGCGGGGCTCCCCACGCACAGAAATGGCGGGAACTCCAGTATGTGCGCCTATAACCCACCTGCCCACCCCCAGAAACCTCTGCCGAATCCCCATCTCATCGTGGCAAAGCTCGAGAGTACGAATTTCCATCTTCCGCTCCTTCCTTTACTCCTGGCCACGTCCCTTCCGGGTCCTGTCCCCCGCCTGCACTAAGTGGGTAGGAAGGGAGTCAGGGGGCTGATTTGAGTACCCTGCGGCGCGAGCACTGCGCGGGGACTGGGAGCAGAGCCAACCGTGCACCCGGCTGGCTCCAGTTCGCGGGAAGAGGGTGCAGGCTCAGGAGAGGGTAAAAACAGCGCCACTAGCGAAACGCCCGACTTCGGGCAGGGCTAAGGCAGTCTGCCGGGTCTGCCGCTACCACCCAGCGCCGACTCCGCCGCTGAGGACAGAGGTGCGGCTGGGCCAGGAGCCGGAGCCTCCGGTCTAAGTGAGCGCTCGCGTGTTCCTCTGTCCTCGGAGTGAGGCTGTGTTTCTCTGTCCGCTCCTGTTGCTCTGCCCTCCGGGAGATTGCAGCTCAGCGTGGCGGAGTACGCCTTGTGCGACCCGCGCGCCTGCCGGCACCCTCCCGTCCCGGCCTCACGCTCTGCGCCTGTAGAGCCCGGGTGACCCCAGAGCCCGGGGAAGCTTGCCCTTCCTATCCTCAGCTGTCCCGCAGATCCTGCAGAGGCTACTTGGGACGAGAACTACAAACTCGTTCCGGGCCCGCAGCGAGTCCCCGGCAGGGCAGGGCGATGTGCCAGGGCGCGCGGCTGGGCAGGGTCCCGGGACTGTGGCGGGGAGGGGAAGCATGCTTACTGGGGATGGCGCTGCGGGGAGCCAGGAAGGCAGCAGCCGCGGCCTCCTTTGTACAATTCTACCTCGGGAACCGAACGCCCTGCGGGCCCTGAATTGGGACCACCGGGACCCAATCCTCCTAGGCACCGAACGCGCGCAAGCCGTCGCGTTTAATCTTTCCGAGCCCCAGACAAGGTTAACTGATGAGGCCGTAATATCTCGCACGGGCAGGGAAATACTGCCGGGTTCCTGCGTCCTCCGGGGCGGAGAAGTTGCTTAAGCCTTGCAAGAAGCAGAGCGAGCGAGCGGACCAGTGGAAGCCCTGGCTGGCTTCGCTGCACAAACGCTAGTGACGGATTCCTGGGGAACAGCGCCCTCTGGAGGAGCCTCTTGTCTACACAGAGTCAGGAACTAGACCGCAAGCTCTGGAACTCGAAGCACCCTTTCCCCACACCACCCCCATTACAACCTTTGGCAAAATCATCCAGAGATGCAAAACTTCTAGACGCCACATTTGCTTACATTTGCTTTCCTTGCTAACTTGTACCCATGCTTCAAATACCTGCTCAAATCCTGTCCTCCGAAAAGAAGCTTTCTGGTGAGCCCAACCCATTTTGCCCTCTGATCGCCTGAGCATCAGTGCCTGAACCCTGGACTCCAGCGCGCGCCCGCCCGCGGCGCATACCGCACTGCACAGCGGTCCTGCTTCCTGGATCATCCTTCTCCAAAGAGACTTAATCCACCTCATCCACCCCTTGGATGGCTCGCTGGGCATGCTGCCATCCCCCACAGTAAATAAGACCGAAGTCACCTTTCCCAAAATTGGATGGTAGATTTTCTATTTTTATTTACTTATTTATATATGTTTTTTTAGAGGTTTTTGCCTTAGGGTGTTTGCATTCACCAGAAAGAGAAATAGAGAGTAAGAAGGAAAGTGAGAAATCGTCCCCTGGGAGGATGGCCACACTGCAATCCATTTTCCTCCGTGGATCTTGGGCACGCCTGCACACATACCTGGCTTGCGTTTTAAGCCACTAGGTCTGAAACTCAAACCACAGTTCACCATGTGGGAATCCAGTGACATAACCACTATGGCATCTGCTGGTCCCTACTTACTTATTTTTCTTGCCAGAGGGCCTGTGTGCTGGCCAGAAAGAGACAGAAGGAGAAAGCACTGCCTAATGGGGTGTGGTCATGCTGCAATCCCTTCTCTTCCATTTCTTCATCCTAGGGAGACTTGGGGGACCTACACATGCTTGCTGTGTGCGTTTTCAAGCTACCAGGGCTGGAATTCTAACTGTGGTTGGTCCTGTGGAGTCCAGCTCCTTTAACCACTCAGCTCCACCAGCCAGCCCATGGACTATAGCTTTTCAAGGTTCATTTCTCCAGGAGGGAAAGTAAGACCCAGAGAAGAAGCTGCCTTGCCCAAGGTCACACAGTAAACTGAGAGCAGAGGAAGTTTCCCAGTCCAGGGCGCATTCCATCTCACGTGGATAGGGAGCCTGGATAGGGAGCCGGTAATTTGGGGGAGGATGCTTTCTGATAGGTGAGGCCTGGGTGGGGAGATTTTGGCATAGGAGAGGGGAGATGCAGGCTGGAATTGGCAGGCTGGTCACTGCTCCACCATGGGACAGTAAGGAAGGGAGGGCATATTAGGCAGCCCAGATCAAGCTACCACTCTGAGGGGCCCCAAGCTGGCTCAGGGTCTGACATCAGCAAGTGGCCTGAGCTGGAGGCTGGAACAGACTCAACCTAGGCAAATACCCTCCAGCATTCACCAACACCACCCATTTAGGGAGAAGGGGGCTAAGAAACCTCTCCTGCTAATATACACCCACAGAGCACTGTCCAGACCCAGATCCATAGGAAGAGGCCTTCTCGTGCTTGTAAGTATAGTTAAGACTCTGGGAGGGTGATTTGCACGTAATTTGCATGAGGCCCCAGGCATGGCCTGCTCAGCAGCCTGAAGCCCTGTCAGTGGCAGGCTGTTTCACTTTCCAGGCATAGTGTGCTCTGGCCCCTACCTGCATGTCCAGCCTCACCTGCAACTCCTGCACTCTACTCACACCTGATTCACTTTTCTCACCTTTCTCCTTGTGGCTCACTCCTGCCTGGATCATCCTGAATCCTTCTTGGTCCATATCAGATGTCAAGATATGCCCTGCCCTTGGGGGCAAATGGAAAGGAGACACTGGACAGCCCACACTTATGAGATACTTCCTTGGCAATACCCCACACTCCCCAGACTGCGGGGCTCCTGCCTCTGTGCTCCCAGACACGGATCTGTCTCTGTTCTCGTGATTTGTTTTCCAATCTGTTGCCCTCTGTAGACTGTAAGTTCTCTTATAATGAGGCTTATATTGTCTTTATCTTACCTTTCCTGCTCTGCAAAATAACGATAACTGTACCTGCTTCATTGGTTTTTGTGAGGATTAAATGAGATAATAATGCATAGAAAGCACTAGTGCCCGAAACTTTGAAAGAGCTCAATAAATGTTTCACACAATCATTATGAACCGTTCCACTTCCTACCAGGCACAAAGCCTGACGCACAACAGGTGCTCGAGTACTGTTAGATATGTGGATACATGAATGCAGGAGGGAACGATGTGCTGTATCTCCCTCAGCCTGGGACTCCCAGAGAGTTAACTAGACCATGAGTGGAAGTATGTGTTCTTGGGTCAGCAGGTGGTATGGTGGTTAAGGCGCTGGATCCCACGTGGCTGACTCGTGGTTTAAATACCAGACCTGCTGGCTTGAAAAACTGATCATGTATGTGCATGTTCAAAATCCCAATAGGAGAATAGAAGAGAAAACACTGCAGCATGGCCATCCCCCCAGGGGGTGGGATTTCTCACTTTCCCTCTCTCTCTGACTCCATCTGTCTCTCTTGGTGAATGCATGCACATGCGCTATAGCAAACAAACAAAACTATGTTCTTGGGGGACAGGCCCCATGGCCTAGTGGTTAAGGGAACTGGATTCCTTGTGACTGTCTACATGCTTTAAACCCCAGTCCTAGGAGCTTGAAGTACACTGGGCCCATGTGCAAGCTTACCTAAAATCCAGAAAAGATTGGAGAAATGGAGAAGGGATTGTGGTGTAACCACACCCCACTGGGAGTTGCTTTCTTCCTCTCCCTCTGTCTCTTTGAGGAGTACACCAACCCTGTGGCAACATTTTTTAAAAAGAATTATTTATTTAATTTTATTTATTCATTCATTTATTTTAATTTGACCAGAGAGACAAAGAAAGAGAGGAAAAGTGAGAAAGCAAGCCACCAGGTCTAGGACTCGAACTGTGGTTTGCCATGTGGGAGTGTCCAGCGCCATAATCACCATGCCACCTGCTGGCCCCCTCGTGGCAACACTTTAGAAAAGTGAAAAGAAAAATCAATATATGGCGTAATGATTACGTCACTGGACTCTCACATGGCTGACTGGGGTTCTAGTCTCGGATTCAGAGGCTTGAAACTCAAGCCAGGTGGAGGAGAAGGGATTGCGGTGTGGCCATCCTCCTTGGAGGGGGATTTCTCACTTTCCATTTCTATATCTCTCCAGCAAGCACACACACCCTGTAGCAAAAATCTGTCTTAGAAAAAAAAAAAGTAAAAATCAAAAGAAGTACATGTTCTCTGAGACCACAAGTCATTTCTCCACCATCGCTCCTTATTCTTCTCCTTTTTCTTTCTTTTTTTTTTTTCTTTTTTTGAAAGGTTTTTGCTATAGGATGCGTGTGCTCGCCAGAAAGACAGACAGAAAGTGAGAAATCACTCACTCCCCCCCCAGGGGGGACCGCCACGCTGCAGTCCATTCTCCTCCACTCTTGGGCATGCACGCACACACATCTGGCATGAGTTTAAGTCACGGGGTCTGGGATTCAAACCGCGGTCAACTACATGGGAGTCCAGCGACATAGCCATTATGCCAATTGCTGGTCCCGTCTCCCCAGTTGCTCCTGAGGAAGGAGAGCATGTCTTCCTAAATAGATTGCCCATGATCTCTGGTCCTCCAGTATTTGGGTTTCTCTCCCATGCCCTATGCCTCAGTTTCCCCCTTTTAAAGTGGTTGTGACAGGGCCAGCAGGTGGTATGGAGGTGAAGGTGCTGGATCCCACATAGCCAACTAGTCCAAGACCTGGTGGCTTGAAATCTCTCCAGGCACGTGTGTGTACATGCCCACAATCCCAAAAGGAGACTGGAGGAGAAGGAATTGTGGCATGGTCATCCCTTCTGGGGGTAATCTCTCTCTCTTTCTCTCTCTCTCTGAGTGTGCGCACACATGCACTCTGGAGAGTGCACATACCCTATAGAGCAACAACTAAAAAATAAATAAACAAACAAAGTAAAACAGTCGTGACAATTCAAACCAGCTACTGGACTGAGTCCTGACCAAATCTTCTAGGAGCTCTCCATTGCTTGTAAGAAGAACTTAGTCTCCTTGGTGTGATGGCTTACAGTGGTCCTGACTCAACTGAAGGAAACCTCCCTTCTGTATTCCGTGTGGGTTGTCCATTATCTGTCTCCTTCCCACTTGCCCCAGGGGCAGACAGGCAGCCCTGCTGGATCAAACAGCCTTGCAAGCCCAACACCCAGTGATGGGCCTAAGTGGTAGTAAGTGACCTTCCCTGAGCCAATAACTTCTACACAATTCCATATCTGGACTCTGGGACTTGGGGATATATAAACCTGGGACTCTGGGACATGTGGACTCTGGGAAGATGCATCTCCTTTGGATCAGAAGACAAGCACCCAGGCCAGAAGCCACCTTCCCTGCCATATGGACAGTGCTGTTTGACATCAAAGCCCACACACAGAGGGAAATGGCCTAAAGAGAGAAATGGAGCCTTAAGAACAGTGTCTGATGGGACCAGCATGGTGACCAGTAATGGCTATGTCACTGGACTCCCATGTAGTCAACCACGGTTCGAGTCCCGGGCCCGGTGGCTTAAACTCACGCCAGGCGTGTGTGTGTGTGTGCCCAAGATCCTGAGAGGAGAATGGAGGAGAAGGGATTGCAGCATGGCCATCCCTCCAGGGGGTGATTTCTCACTTTCTGTCTCTCTGTTTCTCTCTGTCTTTCTGGCCAGCGCACACACCCTATAGCAAAAACTTCTCAAAACAAAAACAAAAACAAAAACAGAACTGTCTGATCCCTGAATCCAGCTCTGCCTGAATCTGGAAACTTTAGACTTCCCAGACATTTGAAAGAAAGAAATCTCCCCTTTTGCTAGGCTGGGTTGAGTTCAACTCTGCTAGTGGAGTTGAATTTCACAAACAGAAGAGGCAGAGGGGACCAGCAGTTAGTGTAATGGCTATATCGCTGGACTCCCACATAGTCAACCGAAGTTCGTGTCCCGGACCTGGTGGCTTAAAACTCAGTCCGGGCGTGTGTGCGTGCGTGCCCAAGATCCAGAGAGGAGAATGGAGGAGGAGGGATTGCGGCGTGGCCATCCTCCAGGGGGGTGATTTCTCGCTTTCTGTCTCTCTGTCTCTGTCTGTCTGGCGAGTGCACGTGCCCTATAGCAAAAAAAAAAAAAAAAAAAAGAGGCACAAAATAGAAGGATCTTGCAGCCCTGAGACCACTGAACTGCCCTACCTACCTGAACTGCCTGCACTGACTTTTTATGAAGGAAATAAACTGCCATCTTGTTTCAGCCACTGGGGCCGGAGTTGGAGCAATCTGTTACTCACAACTGAATGTAACCTTCATTGATACAGGCAGGGATGGGGAAATGCCCGGTGGGCCCATACAGTGTTGATATGGCCGCCATCTCCAAATCTCGATGCTGCTGACCCGGGGCACAGAGATGAAAGCAAACGGGAGTCAGAAGGTTGTACAGATACCTTGTGTGACTCCAGGCAAGGAGAACATTCCAACAGGGCTGTCCTTTGGAGTTGCAGTAGGTTCCCTTGGTGGCATGAGCTCCCCCTCACTGGAAGTACTTGAATAGAGGCAGGGTAATCGCTGGGTAGGACTCTCCAGGGCACCCAGGTCCATCAGAATGAGTTCAGGCCTTACATCTAGGTTCATATTACATTTTTGTCACTTACTGATCTCAAACAAATAATCTCTCCAAGCCTCCATTACCCCATTAGTTAAGTCTCCAGGTATCTGGGTTGACACTGGGAGGAAGGAAGCTCCCCAGCCCGCCACCTGGCAGACTCCTGAGAGCCAGTGCGCTAGGCAGAGCCAGCCATGGGCAGGACATAGGGAGTTTCCTCAGCCTCCTGCCAACCTTGGCATGCTCGGGTGTGCCTGCTCCGTCCTGCCAGAGTGCACCTCCCACTGCTTTGATCCTCTACCGAAAAGGAACAGTGGGGCCCGAGTCAAGAGCCCTGAGCTCTACTCCCAGCCTGCCCCTGTCTTCCTATGCGACCTCAGACAAGCCCCTGCCTCTCTTAGGACCTCAGTTTCCTCATCTGGCAAGTGAGAAGTGTGTCCCCTGTCCTGGACAATCTGGCTCTAGACTGGGCTCTCAACCACCCTGCCCTCTCCACATTTCCAATGCGAGCAGTTCCCGTTAGGGCAGCAACGGTCATGTTACCGCTTGGCCTCGCCCTGCCCAGCCCCCAGATCCTGCTGGAACAGGCTCCTCCTTGTGCCCTGCCGAGGTCCACCCGTGTGGCGCCAGCTGCTAGATGAGCTGACATCATGGGTCTGGCCGACCCACAGGTTCCCGCCACCGAGGGCCTTGTTTCCAGCCGTGGAGTTCGGCTCCTCCTCAGCTGCCCCCGCCTCTCACTACACACCCCTGTTTGATCTTCCCGCATCCTCTTCCTCCCTCATAGCTGGGGCCATTCATATTTGGGGGATTACAGTCAATAAAATGGGAATTCTGACTCGGTAGAGGTGTAGATCTTAGAACACGGTCCACTGGTCAGAAGAAAGGACTCACGATCGGGGCCACATGGGGAGACAGCAGTGTTTCGCAGAAAGCCTAGGGGCCTGACCAGTGGAGGTCCAGAAAGCCCACACCTGCCACCCATGCCTGGGGTGTGTGGGTCACGGGGGAAGGAGCCATCTTCCTGGATAGACTGACAGCCAGGCAGAGACCCCACTCAAGGAGGGGCAGCTAGTGCTCAAGCATCACAGATCCAGGGGCCAAAATACCTGGAGAAGAGCTTCAGTGGGAGCCTCAGATGAGAAGGCTAGGAAAGACGGTGAAGTTTGAGCTAAAATTCTGACCACAGTCACCAAGGGTCCTTTTGAGAAATGAAAGTGAACAGCTGCTAGAAGGGCCATTGTGACCACACAGGGAGCTTGGGTGTCCAGACACGGGCTCATGGAAATGCACTTCCAGGGCTGTCTCCTGCAGACCAGGTGTGCTCCATGTGCAAGGTCTCACTGCTGGACTCGGCCTGTTGGGAACAATGTACATGTCCATCACGGGGGTTCAGCAAACACAGGCGCTCCCATCAAAGGGAATAGTATGCGGTGTAACATCAAATAAAGAAGGAATTTGTGTATTGATCTGGACAGAGATCCAAGATACATTATTGAATTTTAAAAAAGAAAAAAAAGTGGGATCAGCAGGTGGCGTGGTAGGTAAGGTCACTGGATTCCCACATGACCAACCATGGTTTGAGTCCCAGACCTGGTGGCTTGGTTTCTCATTTTATTTTTTTCTTGCTCTCTTTGTCCTTCACTGGTTAAATCAAAATAAGTAAATACGTAAGTCAAAT